TAGATCCGAGTTAATTGCCATTGATGAAGCTCTCCGAATCATCAAGACGATGATATCTCCTGATGAAATATGGATATTATGTGATAGCCGAAGTGCTATCCAACACCTTAGCGACTGGACAAATGTTGGAGACAAAACATCGGTCTCAATTCTTAAAAATCTTAAAGAACTTTCCCAGCAAGATGAGATTTACTTCCAATGGATTCCATCTCACATTGGTCTCTTTGGCAATGACACAGCTGACCTTTTAGCCAAGGAAGGTGTCACTGAAAATTTAATGTCGAGAAGAACTTTGACTTTTTCTAAAACGAAATCTTTGATTCAAGAACTATGGAAGACTCCTCCGACTCACCCCTGGTATAATAGGCAGGCCCCAGGTGGTGCCCTTTCCATCAAGGCGGATAGAGTCGTCCAAACAACTATTAGTAGGCTTGCAAGTGGACACATTAGAGGCCTTTCCTTTAACTTAGGCCAGAAAATTTACGAGAATTGTACTAAATGCAATTTGGTACAGGCAACTCCAGATCATCTTTTGTTTTGTGCAGGACTTGAAAGGGAGGACATCTATTCCAGTCCTCTTTTGGTGTACGATTTCCTGAGGACTCTTGGGCTCATGGACCTGGTCTAGCCTGCGGCTAGACAGGAGGAATTAGTCAACAACAACAACAACAACAAACAGCCGTTGTCAAAATATCCTATTATTATGAATTAAAACTTTCAATCTGCTTGAAAAAATTTCCTAACCATTAATGTTTTAAGTGCTTTTTCTGGAATTTCATGTTTATGTTAATAATTATAATTGTCTTTGATTTATTCTTGTCTATATAAGTAATTTCAGTACTCTTTTCGATAACCTTCAAGCATGCCATAAAGCAGAGGAGGGAAACCCACAGCTTCCATGAGCACTTGCTCATAAAAGCTAGCACTTATATAAAAATATTTAACTAATGTGTATTACAACAATTTTCAAATAAAATGAATTCAATAAAAAACGGCATGAATGTATGTATGTGTATTTTCCATCGGATTTTATAATTATGTTAGGAATTGTTGCTATGTCATTTATTTATAATTTAATACTTTTATTTTTCTATTGTGTTCCATTTATGTTAAAATTATTAAACAATACTTCTACTCTTTATTTTTATTTGCAGTGGTACTTAAATATGTAGTTGTTTATTAAATTTTAAAAATCTAAATATAAACTGTTGTCTGTAAAAAAAAACGCACCCCACCACATGAAGGAATCATCAGAATTGAATGAAATTTAATGCACAAGCGACTTCAGTACAAATTAGTACAAATAAATGAAGAAATCTTCAAAGCAAAAAACAATATTAAGTGTCCGAAATCAGTATTTGGTGTAGACACCATGAGCTGCAATAAGTGCCGCTATGCGATGTGGCATGGAGTCAAACAGATTTTAAATGTCTGCTTGTGGAAGAGAATTCCATATTGCTTGTATGAGTAGCAAAAGTTCGTTTTTTGAAGCTGCATGACGCGGATCTAGAGTGAGACGCCGACCAACCAAATCCCACACGTGCTCAATAGGCGATATATCCGGCGGATGAGCAGGCCAAGGAAGAAGTTGCATGTGTTGGGCTGAACAGAAGTCCTGAACAGTCTTTGCAACATGTGGGCGTGCATTATCCAGCTGAAAGATAGCTCCAAGGGTGCTTTAAAGGAAGGGAACGACTTCGGGCTGTAGCACCTCACAAACGTACCTGTTGCTATTGAGATTACCCTCAATTCGTAGCAAATTGGATCGTTCATGGTACGAAATCGCAACCCAAACCATAACTCCGGGTGTTAGGCCACTATGTCGTTCGATAACGCACTCTGGAAGACAACCTTCACCGGCACAGAGTCTAACACGAATGCGGCCATCAGGGTCCCACAAATTGAAGCGTGAATCATCTGAAAAGACAACATGGTGCCAATCAGCTTGCCAGGCTCTACGCTCATGAGCCCATTGCAGACGCTGCCGTCCATGTTTTGCTGTGAGGGGAAACCTGTATATAGGCACCCTTCACGCAATCTGTTACTCCTGTTGAAGGTTAAATGTTTGTGCATTTAAGATTGCTGTCGAATTTAAAGTAAATTTTGCTGGAAATCCCTTTGCGTCTTCCCGTAAAAGGCATTTTTACTAATAAAGGGTGTTTTTTTAGAGGTATAGAACTTTAAATTGCAATAAAACAACGATGTATTATTCGACTGACATGAATTTTTTTATTCGAAAGATAATCTTGTGGCATTACATTTTAAATATGATTTCTGGCATAGGATGGCTCGGATGTAGTCCAATCTGGACGTTCAATTTTCGATTACTTTTTCCAACATTTGTGGCCGTATATCGGCAATAACACGGCGAATGTTGTCTTCCAAATGGTCATAAGCGTTTGTGGCTTATCCGCATAGACCAATGACTTTACATAGCCCCACAAAAAATAGTCTAGCAGAGTTAAATCACAAGATCTTGGAGGCCAATTCACAGGTCCAAAACGTGAAATTAGACGGTCACCAAACATGTCTTTCAATAAATCGATTGTGGCACGAGCTGTGTGACATGTTGTGCCGTCTTGTTGGAACCACAGCTCCTGGACATCACGATTGTTTAATTCAAGAATGAAAAAGTTAGTAATCATGGCTCTATACCGATCACCATTGACTGTAACGTTGTGGCCTTCATCGTTTTTGAAGAAGTACGGACCAATGATATCACCAGCCCATAAAGCGCACCAAACAGTCAGTTTTTCTGGATGTAACGGTGTTTCAACATACACTTGTGGATTAGCTTCACTCCAAATGCGGCAGTTTTGTTTGTTGACGTAGCCATTCAACCAGAAGTGCGCTTCATCGCTAAACAAAATTCGCTTATGAAAATCGGGAACAACGGCAATCTCGTTTTGGGCCCATTCGACGAATCTGCGCCTTGCTTGATGATCGTTTTGATGAATTGCCAAACCAAACTGAGAATAAATCACTTGACAGCTGTTAAATCGGTCGCCATCTTGGAAAGTAATGCCAACTTAAACTTCTATACCTGGAAAAAAAACACTCTTTATAAATTGTATTGCTGATTTAGGAATAATCACAGTATTTCCACTGTGATTGTCAGTAAATTTTGTTAATGAAAAAGAATTTAGTACAAAAGTAACTATTTTAAGCCTGTCAAAAATTTATATGCAAAAACAGATATTTTTTTAAAGAGATAACTATGAAGGGAAAAGAGGAAATGTCGTAATTTTTTTAGACACTTATACATATGCCACAAAATTCTGCGTACAACGCACACTTTTAATACAAAAAAATAAGATCAAAATTTACGGGTGTGCGAATTATACGCTGGGTATAAAAATAAGAGTCTTAAAAAAAGATGAGCATAGAAAAGAATTCGACCTCTACATAGATCGAAATACTGTTTATTTAAAAGAAACGACATTCCTTATGAACTTAAAAGATTGCAGTTTAGAAATATATTTATTTTTATAAAGCTTGGAATAATACTTCGAATAAATGACTTCAAAACAGGCATTGTGCACGTATATTTCAGGTTTCTTCGTAAATAAAGTATAGTTTTAAAAAACTAAAATAAAAAAAATTTTAATAGTTAATCGAACTAAAAAATAAAAAATAATTCTTAATATAAGAATAAAATGATTAACGAGAAAATAAATAAAATGTGTGGTACTACATTTTTATGCTAAATCTGTATTTCGGAATAGAACTAGTAAGAAATTATAACAATTAATATCGAGCACCCCACCCTTTTACCACAATGGCATTTATTTTCTCGTTAATCATTTTATTCTTACATTAAGAATTATTTTTTTACTTTTTAGTTTTATTAACCATATAAGCGTGTTTTTTAGTTTTATTAACCATATAAGCGTGTTTTTTAGTTTTTTTTAACTATAATTTATTTACAGGGATTACAGACCAAAACATTGCCAAAATTTTGGATGTGTGTGGGTTCCCACTCACATCAGTGGTCAGACTATCAATCAACACTATTACATTGAAGTACTAAAAAGACTTTGTGAAAAAATTTGCAAAAAAAGAGCCAGAATTGGGGAATGATGGATGACTGTTGCACTAGGACAATGTACCCACTCACACGGCTGTATCTGTTAAGTAGTTTCTGACCAGCAAAAACATTACTGTGATGGGACATCCTCCTTATTTACCTGATTTGGCATCATTCAACTTTTCTTCATTTCCTACAGTTAAATCTCACTTAAAGGGAACCCATTTTACTTCAGTTGAAGAGGTTCAGGCAAAAACGGAGAATCTCCTGAAGGGTCTTCCAAAAACCCTCGTTCCAGAACTGTTACCAGGCATGGCAGCACTAAATGCAGAAGTGTGTTAATGCTGAAGGGAACTACTTTGAAGGTGATAATGTCCCGGATAACTGGTTTTGTAAGTACAATAATGTATTGGTCCAGTCTCGTTATTTTTGTGTCACACCTCGTAATAAAATTTTAATGTGAATTGTACAAATGTGAAACTCGTAACTGCAAATGAATATTCATATACAACTTTATACAACTGATTTGCACAACCTTTTCACACAGCTTTTTGATATTTAAAAACTATTTTTTACTAACACGATTTTTACATGGCTTTTCTATGACCGTCTAATGTATATATAAGGATTGAATATAATGCTAGTCTACATAGTTTATCTGTAAGTACTTACCAGATTCTCCTAATATTGCTGTTGGAATCCTCATCTGATCCGCCGCACCTCCCCACTTTTTTCTGAGTTCTTGCCACTTGGGATCCTTTCCGTAGTCTGGGAAGTACATGTATGGTGCATGCTTCTTTGCTAGTTCTTTAGGAGGACTTTTGATACTTTGAGTGGCTGGAAGAAAAACAAGTGTTCTGCCTTTTTTTTTATGGATACAGATTTCGAGGCTAGATATTATTCTTTGTTACGTTAATCTTAGTGTATTTCGTTTATAAGTTTTCTTAGGACTGTATTTTTCTTTGAAGTCATAGGTCATACTATGCTAAAAACAACGATTCTCGTCCGATCAACGAAGTTAAGCATCCCTGGGCGCGGTCAGTACTTGGGAAGGTGATCACCAGGGAACACTGCGTGCCATTGACATTTTAATTTTGTTGGCTAGGTGGCTGTGAGGTAGCATGCCTGCCTCGTAAGCCTAAGGTATAGGCTAGAGTCAATAGATTTTCTGGATTCGAAAATTGTAAGTACGCATGTCTATGATTATGTGGCATGTAAAAGATCCCTTGAGTATCAATTTGGCTCTGGTACTCTCAGCAGAATTAAATCACGGTAATATTTAGCAACATACGCGAGAGTTTGAATTGAATAAAACTCAAACGTCACAATTTGGTAGCGGAAGTCGCCACTAGATGGTGCAGATGGCTTTCACTCTTGGAGACTTGCCAAAGCTTAGGTGCCAAAACGCAGGCCATTTGAAACAAACAAACAAAATTTTTCTTTGAATGAGATGACTTTACGTTCAATAGAAATCGAAAACAATATTTAATTGCAGAGTGCAAAAGCAAAAGTTGTAAAGTGTTATTTAATTATTATTTCTCTTAGTTTTTGATAAAGAAATGTTTTAGATTTGTGCGTAAAATGTGATCAGAGCCCCGCTTAACAAGATACAAGCAGATTTTTATTAGATATAATATCTTTCAGTTTGAAAACAATGTTTTCTTACTGATGCCATAAAATAACGATCTTAGTTTAAAATTGAGGGAAATTAGAAACTTTTAAGAATCCCACATGTGCTTGCATTTAAATTTTTACGTCAGGATAAATATAGAACTTATTTTTTGATAAATGAATTATGTGAGGGATATATAATACCGAAATTTATTTGACATTATTTTCACATATTTCACAGAATCGAATTAAAGCTGAAATATTGTTCAAATGAGATATATGAAAGTATATATTGACAGATTAATGATTGGAACTCGTTGAAGTCTTATTAACTGACTTTTATACTTTATTAATAACTGAGACTGGACTACAGTAAAGGACTTCATTAATTGAATGCCACTAATATTGGAAAATGATTTCTTAAGATTTTTCACGCATTTAACATGTCTCAATATGACATCTAAAAACACCGAGTTTAAGATGAGGCTGATAGGACCATTTACATAGGTAATATAATGACTGACAAAAAATCTAGCATGTAGATAATCAACAACATGTGGAGGGCCAACAATATATCAATAAAATTACTTGCGTAAACAAAGATATGATTATTTGAAATAATACTCAAATATGATATAGAAAATAACAAAATCCCTCGTAAGAATCAACCTTTGGAATAAAGATTTTGCAGTTCTAACGTGAACAGTCAACATATTAACAGGGTTGTAAGATGCTAGAAAGAATAACTTGAATGGATGCGGTTCAGTGAAAATTTCCCAGCTAATATTATAGCTAAAATAAAGTAAGGATTCAATAATATCTTAAATTCAAAATGTTAATACGGAATAATAAAATCTGGTGGCCTCAGTATGAGTGGAATTTACTTACATGCCGTACAGAAAATCTTTTTTATGTTGCTGGATTTACAAGGTAATTATACTTAAAGTTCCCCTTTCAAAATACTGTAAAAAAGAACCATTGCTCGGAATGACTTCAAATTTGAAATGAATATACAGTAATATCTCGACTTACGCGATTTTCAAACCTCGTCAATTCGTCTTTTGTTTGAGAAAAAAAAAATGGTGAAATTGGTAATGTGCTTGAAGAAGTTGTCGATATTGCTAGGCAAATAAATTTAGAAGTAGATAGTGATAACGTTCAAAAACTGCTGGGTTTCCATAATTTATGAGCTCAGAGAAATGCATGAGCCAGAGCAAGACATTCAACAATTCTAGTCTTTGGACCCAGTTCAATCAGAAGATCGAACGACGGTTGGGAATTTGACAGAAGGCCTCAGTTTAATTGAAAAAGGGTTGCAAATTTTAGAAAATATAGATTCCGATGATGAGCGCATGTTTTCAACTAAATAAGAAATGAAAAAATATATTAGCAGCTTGCTTCGAGAAAATTTTACGAAAAAAATCTTTGAGCCGGCAGACTACTTATATAGATTTTATGAAACCTTCTACACATCAAAATAGCTTCGGCTTGTGATTATGTATTTGTGTTATATATATCTATGATTTTATTAAACATTTTTTTTCTAAACTATATTATTTTCTTCCATCTTTGTCCTCAAATAAAAATAATTGATACGTATTTATATGCGAAATAATACGCGGTTACCACTCAGTCCCACCTAATCACGTAAGTTCAGGGTACTACCACACTTGAAGAGAGGAGAAACGGTATGGGTTGAGAAAAAAGTTGCACAGCGTACAATAGATAACGATATAAGCGGTACAAAGGAAGTGATTTCGACTAGAAGTGGCAATTTATATAGAATTACGATAGCTTTGCCACCTTAACCCTTTATCTACCGACGGTGCTTATAAGTACCACTCATTTTAAAATTACATAGAATAAACATTTTTACGAATATTCTAACTATACTTAGCAGGAATATTCTTTGAAATCCACTCTTCCAAGATACATGGCAGCACGGGTTCTATGATGAGTATTTTAGCGGGGAAGGCGAATAATTTTAAAACAGAAATGGCATTTTCAGTGGATTGCGAAGAGTATCATTTTTGTCCCGAAAAAATAGTTAATGTCAAAATTTAAGTGTGTCATTTTTTTGTGTATTAATAAAGACCTTACAAAACTATTTGACTATTTATTTTAAGTGAACAATGTATATAATTAATTTTACAGTTGATTATCTTTAATTAATTAATTAGCTCTAACGGAGTAAATTTACTAAAGTTGAGTATTTTGTTTATGTATATTCCTTAATTTTCAATGTAGTGATCCAAAAAAAATGCACGAAAAAAACCCTGCAGTAAATCATAATGCGGTTGATAAAGGGTTAAACCAACTGTATTTTTCAATTTGCATGATCGTTTCGGTTTTTCTTCTAAAAACCGTGGCCGAAGTATAAAGCAGTCGAGAATAAGAGGTAAAAAGCTTCACGAAGAAATAGCCCACCAAATGCATAAAATTACAAAGTTTTGGATTCCGGCTGATCAGTTCTAGTTTACTTTTAATTAATAATTGGTTTTTAGATCTATGATGAAATTAATTCTTAATGGGGAAAAGGTATGATCCCTTCGATCTATATCTCCATAAGTTGTAAATCAGGCCCTGATACCATGAGAACTTCAAGATACTGCCGAATTCTTTCATAACCATTGAAGATAATACTTCAAAAGGAATGGAATATCCTGTCTTTTAAAAGCAGTTCTTACCTGTTCATCCATGGCCAATCAAGTTACTAACCTTCAGTTGGCTTAAACCCCGTTTATTATAAAACAAGTATACATATTATGAGATACCTGGTATTTTAGTATATTTTTAAATACAAAGTATTTACTCACCAACGTTTTCCGACATCACTAGCATATCGACATTCTTTTCTGTAGCTTTCGATTCAAGAAGTTTTGACATGGACCAATCCTGAACCGAGGTTAATAGAGCCACACTGTCTTCACCTTCCTGAAAAAACTCTTTTATTCAAAATGTAGGATTTTTTAGGTATTTTAGAAGGCACATTAAAAAGAATTTTTATATACTGTTTGAGAGAATAAAGTATTTTTCATAATGAAGGGCACAAACTACATAAAATCGGTTTAAATTTGTTTTTACTCATAAGATTTTTCCTTCAGATATAATAAATTTCACAAATAAAGTGTTCTTTTTTTCAGAATTATAAATAAAGAGAACCAAAAACTTACTGCTTCTAGTTCTTTCCACAAATCCGCCTGACCTTCTGAAAACACGATACTGACTATTTCTTGCATTTTCTGAAAGAAACATTAGTTTCTTTATATATGTATAATTCAATTATTTATGTATAAAAAAATATTTATCGAATTGAATTTTAAAGAAACTAAAAAATTCCAAACAGTTAAGTTTTTTAAATTTCATTTGATTTATATATTTATTTTGAAAAAAAAAAGAGAAATACATTCAACATACAACAAAAGAAACAGAAATAATAATTTAATGATATCTTACGTAATTTATGTGGATAAATTATTTATTATTAAACATATCACAAGTGAAAGAAAACTTCATATTACGAATTGTATTTTATAAATACTAAGGTGGATTTCGAATATAAATGAAATTTTTTGTAATAAAGGCAGACGATTTATTTACATTTTGCCATGACAACCATGATTAATTTTTCCAAAATTTAATATAATCGTTTTATTTTTTATTATTTACATACTTATTCGTTAGCCCGATGTATAAATACAAAATATTTACCATAGTTGCACAGAAAATAATTGCTAAATTTTTAACGAATGAAAATGTCAAATTTGTTGCAATTTACTACAAAGTCGGTGCATAATTCGGTAATGAAATATTATTCTGTTCATAAATATGCAAATATTAACTATATTGAGTTTATACCGTTTAAAAATCTATGCAAGTCAATGAGCATTAGAATAAAAAGGGACTAACGCATTTCAAGCAAATTATAAATGTTATTTGGTCAATTTTTTTCAGTAGAGAGTAGTGTTAGAAGTTAAAATTTATCACAACGCGCGTTTAGAACATTAGAATAAAACTTTTTTTAAAACAAAAAATTTCTAGAATTTTTCCTTACATAAAGAACACTCAGATCTTCTGGGTCTACTCCAGGACTAAATGGCCCAGAAGTTTTATTTACAAGTTTTTTGACAATAGCTATCATATTCTTGAGATTCCCTTTTTTCATAGCTTCCAAGTCTATATCATCGTCTTCGCCATCTTTCTTTCCATCTTCACTGGAAGATTTCTTAGACCCATCTATATAATTTAAATATCAATATACATGTGATTAGAAACATTTAAATTGGCTTAAACCATTATTAGAATTATTTTTTGTAGGATTTACCTTTAGATTTCTTGTTAATAGATTTGGAAACATCTGCAATGTGCTGTATTGTTGTCATCGCAGTGTCCACATTTGAAAGATCCATCGTGTCCTAGATAGAGAGGTATTGCCATTAACTAGTTGATATCAGTTGAAAATAAGGGG